TGCATGCCTTTCTCTGCTGAGCTTGTAGAATCGTTGCATGTGCAGCTTCTTGGGTCGATAGCTATTTCCCGGACGTGTTTCGAAGAAGAGTGAGAACTCAACTAATCTCAATTTGTAGTCACATGTGTGTGTGCATGTGTGTCTGAATTGCTGACCTGGCTCGTTTCAGATTTTGTACCCGTGTTTTACAAGGCAATACAGCCATCTCAGAAACCCTGAAAGTGGAAGCAGGCAGCGGTTGCAAATCTATGAGTAGGGGGCATGTGCTGGTGGACGACTTCAGCATCGAATCGCATGACTGTTCTCGACAACTGCCAGGTGGAAGCGGTGCCAAAGACCAGCAGAGGCCCCTTCAAACTGTCGTATGGCCTGTCCATAGGAGGAAACCCGCATGAAGCGGAAAAGCACCCAGTTGCTCATGTGAAGTGCCCGGTCCGAGAGGTTGGGTTTGCCCGAGCCCTAGCCAGCTCCATGCCAAATCTAAGCGTCGCAGGAGGACCGCAGATGAGATTTGGAGGCCTGGAGCATCCTGGAGCTGTAGAGAGCAACAATGTCTTGCCTTTTTTACCAGGACAGTGTGAAACTGGCTTACACGGCCCCCCGATGCAAGGGCCAACAATGGTCGTGAAGTTGTGGCCTGTGGGAGGCGGCTGCTCCAGCACCCCGTGGACTTGGACCCTCGCCTCTGCGCTGCTGTGGAGAGGGCCCGGTTGCCTCATGCATCTGCTGTGTCTCGGGTTTTTTAAATGTGATGCCTGCCCGTTTAAGGCTGCATGGGAAGAGGTGTCTGGTATGAGATTCACACAAGGCGTTGTTCACAGTTTCGGCAAAAACGAAGTCAGGCAAGGTAGCGAGTGAAGCGTAGAGAACTTTTGAGACGAAGGGATGGATAGGTCTGATTCGATTCTTGTGGCAAGCAAACGTGCGTGGGACTGAGTTGGCAAACGGTTGCCACTATCGGACATTGTGTCGTCATGCCTCCGGAAAACCTCGCGACCCCCTGCGCTCTTTGCACTTGAACCTGATGACAGGTCTTCGGGACATCGCACCGCCGACTTTTGGAGGAAAAAAAGCGACTTCAGAATTCGATAGTCGAGACGAAGTAACTCCAGCCCTTGCAGTGCAAGTCCGTTTTTCCCAGCGGCATTGGCAAGGTGCCTGCCAAAGAGAACGACAATCGAGTTTTTCCCCAGGCGCCATCGCGCAAATGCTGACCCATCACAGGAAGTGCCCAGCCGCCTCATGCCCCTCCCAAAAAGGCGAATGTTGCCGGCAAGCATTCGCCGGGTGTCTATCGGTGCATCCATGCCCCTCGCGTGGGAGTCTCAGGGCAACACGGAATGAAGCAGAACTGGCATGACAGTGCCCGCAAATCTCAAGGTGTTCGGGCCGTCTCTTCGTGCGAGCTCAGGTCGCGATCCGGGCTGCACCGGCGGCCAACGCTGAGGCCAAGACTTGAGCCGGCATCCACAGTCAGGAGACAGCCGACGTGATAATGCGTTTCAGCGTCGGCGGCAGGTCTTGGACACAATCCGCCCTGGGGATCTGGTACGTGTAGCCGAGGCCGCCGCTTTCAACATGGTTTTGCTGTGCAGCAAAGCAGTACATGTGCCAGATGCCCTGCTTCCATGTTTGAAGCGAGAGCGTTGCATTGGAAACTGAAGGGAGTGTTGAGATGCTTGCTGGTATGGTATCATCTAGGTCTAGGCAGACCAGGAGCGAATTTCGAACATCAGCCTGCAGCATGCTTCATCACCTCACAACGCACGTCAACACAGGGAAGACGCCAATGAAGTCCGAACGCTGAGATCGAAGCTGGGCACTGGGCCCGCCTGGACGACGACGAGGTCTGGGCTCGCTGGCAGTGGGCTCAGCATCTCGGAGATGTGCTTTCTGCAGCTGTTCTTCCCTGCTTCTGTACCGGTGGGTTCGTTTGCTGGGAGCTACAAGGACAATGAACTGGCCGCGCTGGCCCAAAGGTGCGACAGAGCTGTGGGTCTTGCACACTCGGCAGGTTCATTGGTTCATGGGGTGGTTTGCTTCAACAGAGGTAGTGAGGCTGTGTTCACATCTTAATTTTAACGCTACGCCGCCCGC